TTTGAATATGTCCTTTATGTTTATCTAATGTCTGTAGTTCATAATTTATGAAAAACTATAGCTTCTAATGACTAGGAAGCATCCATTTTCTTATTACATCTATAAAAGTGGAATCCACACACTATCTTTACCTTCATTTTCACAAGAAGCCCTTTAGGGACCCCATGCAGAATCCTAAATTTCAACTTAAATAATCTGCTCTGCCTGCTCTGGGTCATGGAGCTCAGAAAGCCTGTGACTTTAGCTTCAATTCATTAGTTTATGTTTGTCTTCTCTTTTTGGTCTTCAAGATAACTATTTTTGGAGACAAAGAAAATTAAAAGACATATGCTATGCTGTATTATGAATGTTCCTATGAATCTCTCTTTCCATATGCCTATGTTTTTGAAACAGGGAATTTTCTAAGCTATAATATTGAGTAGATGTTTACTGTTGGGATTAGTAGAATCTCTGAGTTGAGATGTGTTGTAAATCCATAAGTTTCAGCAAGCTGGAGTTAGATATGTTGGGTACAATTTTTACCATTTGCAGAGTTAGAAAAATAGAATTCTAGTCAGAGGAAGAGCAAATTACTCTAACGATTACTAACTACTATGAGGGTCATGTTGGATAATATGTCTAAGTACTCTCATTCATAAAATTAACAACATTGTTTTTACTTTTCAATTTTGTGGAGTATTTAAATAAGATGATCTATTATAAAATATAAACCAGAGAGAAAATGATTAATAGGGGTTTAGTTTTCCTCTAGATTTTGCATTCATAATTATAATATAAGACATTGAACAAATCTAAATATACAGAATACGATAACTATAATAAGATCATATGTTCATTATGATGTCTAATTGGAGCATCTTTTTGTTTTATGTAAAATAAGAGCATAGCAAGCAGTTGGCCTGACCAGTTTATTACATTCATTTATTCATGCATGAATTCATCTTATTTTACTGAATATTTACCAAAACTGCTGTTCAGCACACATATGGAGCCAAGTAATTGAGATAAATTTCAAAATAGCTATAAATACAAATATATAGCTATGACAAATGTCATTAATGTAAAAGCACTGTTTACTAACAGAAAATACTAGGGGGCATCTGTAGTTACAGAGTAGGAGAGAGCCTCATTGTAAAAGTGACAGTTAACTTGAGATCTGAAGAACAGGCTGCCACGCAAACTGGGGCAAAGACTGTTCCTGGCAAAAGATAGATCCTAAAGTAGGAAAGACTTAAGTGTTTTGGATGACTCAGAGAAGGCCTGTGTAGATGACAGAAGAAAGAGATATGATTGGAGTGGTATACAGATTCCTGCTACTGAGATGACTGAATTAATAATATCAACTCATTTATTTGTATATTTCTGTTGCTTGCCACAATGCAGAATGCTAGCAAATATTCAGTACATACTAATTGAACAAATAAATAAATTACATAGAGAAGAAGCATAAAAATATTATTTCTTGCTTGTCTCTGTCTCTGCTTCTATTTCTTTTCTTTTCTCTCTTTTTTTTTTTTTTTTTTTTAATTGGGGAGACGGAGTCTCATTCTGTTGCCTAGGGCCCAGAGCAGAGTGCAGTGGTGCCATCTCAGCTCACTGCAATCTCCGCCTCTTGGTTCAAGCAATTCTTGTGCCTCAGCCTCCTGTGTAGCTAGGATTACAGGCACATGCACCATGCCTGGCTAATTTTAATATTTTTAGTAAAGACTGGTTTTCGCCATGTTTGCCAGGTTTGTTTCAAATTCCTGGTCTCAAGTGATCACCTCACATTGGCTTCTGAAAGTGCTGGGATTACAGGTGTAAGCCACAATGCCCAGCCTCTCCATCTATTCCTATCTTTTTCTGTTTCTCTCTCTTTTGCTTGGCAAGTAATACATTTCAATTATTTTTAAAAATTACTGTTTTAAATTATTTTAGAAATAGTTTATTTCACACTATTTTAGAATAGTTTCGATTAACAGAAAAATGGCAAAGACAGAGTTCCCCCATGCCCTTTCACCCAATTTCTTTTATTACTAACATCTTAGATTAATATGGTACATTTGTTACAATTAACCAGTTTGATACATTTTTATTAATTAAACTATGTACTTTATTAAGAATTCCTTAGTTTTAACCTAATGGTCTTTTCCTATTCCAAGATCTCACATTACATTTGTTCTTTATGTCTTCTTAGTCTCTCCTTGCCTGGGACAGTTTCTCAGATGTTCCTTGTTTTTGATGACCTGAACAGTTTTGAGGTATTTTGGTGAGATATTTTGTAGAATGTTCCTCAGTTGGGATTTATCTAATTTATTTTAATGATTAGACTGGAGTTAAATGTTTTTAGAAGGAGGACAACAGACTGTCCATTTTCATTACATTGTATCAAGTATGAATATTATTAACCTGATTTATCAGTGTTAATGTTAACCAGAGTATCTACATAAATTATTTATAATTCTCTATAGAAGATTTGTCTTTTCACACTCAACTCTTTACTTAATCAATTGTTTGTTTATATTAGCGTGGACTCATAGATGTTTATTTTATAATTTGGGTTATCCGTATTAATTTTTTATTGTCAATCGAAGTATTTAGCACATGAAATTATATTTTTTTCTTACTTTCTGACAATAAAAGAATCTCCAGGCTTATCCTGTGTATATTAATATAATATAATCAGCCATTCTAGCAAGGAACCTTGCATCCTCTCATTGGAGAATGGTATTAGAAACTAAGTTCTAGGTGTAGGTGCTGTTTCTCTTCTCAAGGGGCATATTGTAACTGTGTGTAACTGACAGATAATGTCTCTCTCATTACATATACAATATACTGTTATTTAGAGGTGAGGTTAGAGGTTGAAAGGAAATAGCAGAGGTTACAATTATGATGTTTTGAATTAAAACTCAGAGTGAGGAACAGAAAATTATCAGTTATAGCTTTCTACAATTGATTTGAATAAAGGAAATGTGTTATAATTTCAGAATAGATGTGAAAATGTAAGATATATAAAGCACATTTTATTTCATGTTTTCTGTCATGAATAAAAAAGTACTGTATATAATTTATTGCAATTAAAGGAAGCTCTTACTTGAAAAAATTTATGATGACAAAATTAAGAAATTTTCTTTATAATATAATAATATTCAATGACAATATTCTCAAATTTTAACAACATATAGTTCAATGCTATTAACAACATAAAAGGACATAATATAAATAAATTCTTTAAACTTAATATATAGCCCATTTGTCTTACTGGGCTTTGTGCAAGCATTTTCCTTTGTATAATATTTATAACTAATCATACTTAATGTTATGTAATTTCAAACGGGTGTATTTTAAAGATAAAACGTAATAAACCAAGTCATTCTGTGTAGTTTTTGGTTAATGCTACACAGAAAGCCAATCATATATAGCTGAGGAAGAAGGCTTTAATTGGGTGCTGCAGCCAAGGAAATGGGAGCTCAGCCTCAAATCCATTTCCCTGAATGACTAAAACCAAGAGTTTTTATACCAAGCAAGAAATGTAACAATGTATGAGAAAACAGGAACATGGGAAGAGTAAGGAAGCAATCATGGTGAATGAGGAGTTCAGCTTCTGGTGTGGTGATTTGGTTCTAGTTTTTTTTATATTTTTTGTGAGAGTCCTAACAGTCATTTCCTAAGAAAGGAACTCAGATAAAACAAAACAAAACAAGAAAAGTTTCAATCTTTTTAAGACCAGACGGGTCAATTTCTATATTTATCAAAAAGAACAGTCTATGGGTCAATTGGGTTGGTTTCAAAAGAACTAATTTGTTTGAGGTGTATGGCATTCTGAAAAATTGTTTATAGTCAATCTGTAAAATTGTGGTTTTTATTTTTTGAGAAGGGGTCTCACTCTGCCACTCAGGCTGGAGTGCACTGCAACCTCCACATCCTAGGCTAAAAAGATCCTCCTGCCTCAGCCTCCCTAGTAAATCCACAATTGCATACCACCATGTCTGGCTAATTTTATTGTTGTTGTTGTATTTTTGTAGAGACAAGTTTTCTACATGTTGCCCAGGCTGGTATCAAACTCCTGAGCTCAAGCAATCTGCCCAATTTGGCTTCCAAAAGTACTGGTATTACAGGCCTGAGCCACTACACCTGGCCAAAAACCACTCTTTAGACTGTTACACTGTCTCATTTAGTTCTAGATATTGGGCATCAGAATATTTCAGAGAAAGAAATTCTTAATTCTATCAAGTGAGTTATGAGTCTATAATTTTGTACATTCAACATGCTTTTAAAATGCGATAAGTAAGGCTAAAACTCCAAGCTGCTACTTGTAAAACTGTGAACAACCATATCATTGGTAACTTTCTTTTTTCTCCATGTATAAAGGAAAATAACAATGACTATTTATCAGGGCTTCTGTGAGGATTGTAATGTATGCAGATGGCTGAGTGCAGTTCTTGGCATATGATAAATGTTTAATAAATCCTGACTGCTTTTTTTCTTCTTACTTAGCAATGAAGTTATCAACACCTATGTGATACCTATTTGACCAAATTAAGTAATCTTAAACAAAATGAGACTATATTTTAAACAACAACAAAAAAACCCATTTAATTCAATTCCACATATTAAAAATAGTCATACCAAGCAACAGTTTGAATATTTATAAAACATTCCCTTGAGGCCTGGCCAGATCAGATCTCCAACACAGTTTAAAAGGAAGTCAGACACCCTTTGTATTCCAAAATAGGGTCTCAAACATTTTGTAATTTTCATTTAAATTGTTAGGAGGCTTGGAGCTATTAGTTAATCTATCTTCCAGTACACTGTTTAATATAGCACTGAATAAATGATGCAAGTTGTCAATGGATGAGTGATCAACTAATAGCTCTGCTAGTAATTGATTTATTTTTCTTCAATAAAGTTGCATAAACCAAAAAAAATAAAAAAATAAAATAAAAATGGGGCGAGTAGGCGGGCGGAGCCGGGCCCGCGGGGCTGCTGCGGGGCGATCCGGCCGGGCCGCGGCTGCGCCATGGACTACTGTGCCCAGCCTGAGTTCCAGCCTCACTGAGTGGCCACTCCCAAAGCACTTCCAGCCGAGGAAGCCCCCAGCACTGACCATGTCTATTATGGACCACAGCCCCACCATGGGCGTGGTCACAGTCATCATCATCCTCATTGCCATCGCAGCCCTGGGGGCCTTGATCCTGGGCTGCTGGTGCTACCGGCGGCTGCAGCGCATCAGCCAGTCGGAGGACGAGGAGAGCATCGTGGGGGATGGGGAAACCAAGGAGCCCTTCCTGCTGGTGCAGTACTCGGCCAAAGGACCGTGCGTGGAGAGAAAGGCCAAGCTGATGACTCCCAATGGCCCGGAATTCCATGGCTGAGCCAGGATGGGAGGCTCCTGGTCCTGTTTGCAGCCAGCCGAGAGGCGCTGGGAGGGGCAAAACCACACGGACATGCTGCTGACTGAGAGGAAGGGCTGACACTTGCTGGCATGGCCCCTGCAGGCTTCGTCATCGCATGCACTGATGCCCGAAGGACCAGCTGTCCTGGGCTTCCCCTCAGCCTCCGGATGAGGCTGCCCATTGCAGGCAGTGGGCAGGCCTGACCTTGCTGGGGTTCACAGCCCCGTAGCGCTTTTGTTACTTGAATGTTTAGCTGAGCCTGTTTTTGATGGAGCTACTACTGTAATGCCTGAACTAACAAACCTGTGAACTATAAATAGGCCTCCGGAAGCACATGCTTAAGCCCTTTTGCTGATTTTTTAAAATATCCTCTAGTGCACACGGAAAAAAAAAAAAAAAAAAAAAGTAGGTGGAGGTTTTACACACACACACATACACACACACACACACACAAATACTAAATTATTTCACTTAGAACTATATAATTAGAAAGAACAGTTATTAAGAATGGCTTTTAATTTTATATAATAATTTTTATTTAAAAACTAAAGAAATTAAATGTTTTGTGTATAGATACCTATCCAAATGTTAAATAAAATAAACATGTTACATCTTTTTAGTTTTATAGTTTCCATAAAATTTATCTTATTGGAATAAATCTATCATCATCAATCTTATGCTGTGATGACTATCATCACACAGTTATACTATGTATGAATAAGTACTTAATTTTTTTTTTTTTTTCAAACTGAGTGTTGCTCTGTCATCCAGGCTGGAATGCAGTGATGTGATGTTGGCCCACTGCATCTTCCGCCTCTTGTGCTCAAGCAATTCTCCTGCCTCAGCCTCCTGAGTAGCTGCTACTACAGGCACACACCACAGCACTCAGCTAATTTTTGTGTTTTTCATAGAGACGGGGTTTCACAATGTTAGCCAAGCTGGTCTTGAACTTCTCACCTCAGGTGATCTCCCTGCCTCAGTCTCCCAAAGTGCTAGAATTACAGGTATGAGCCACCATGCCTGGCCTTCAAATTTTAATAATAGGTTTGTACACAGGAATAATGTCCTTGGAACATGAAGCAAATTGATTAAATTTTATGTATCCCAAAGAAGATATTTACTTGAATAGTATCCTTTACTTACATTTTTCAAACTCTGTACTAGACTGCCAATATTCAGATGCAAAGTAGACTGCAGTAAAACTGAATCATATAAATAATGGAGGTAATGAATTATTACTTCGATTATTTTTCCCTTTTCAAATGATCAAAAGAATACATAACATATTGGATAAATTAAGATATTGAAGTTCCTAAGACTGATAATATTAATTTGTTTGATGATTTTCTTATACAATGTGCTCTTACTAGATAATAATTGGGATATTGTTATGTAATATCTTATGCAACTGATTGAATGTATGTATAAGCATTGTTATAGTTAAATTGCAGATATTTTACTTTCTAAATAAAAAAAAATAAAGTCTCTTGATTAGTATTAACCAAAATTCTGGTCATTTAACTAATGGCTAAGTATGGAAGGTAAGTTACATGAATAAATAAATGATTTCTAATGTGTTTTGAATATATAATGATAAACACAAAAACAGATTGATTGTTAAGGATATATCCTCTATGTATTAATACCAGATATAAAAAAGCAGTACTGTGTTAGTCTGTTAATGTAATTGTGATTCAAACTTCACTTTTGCTTAAAAAATATTACTAATTCGGTTTTTTAAAAAAAGTAACATGAAGTCAACTGCATACAACAAAGCCAGTTTAAACAACTTTCTGTGCTATCTGATTGGTTTTATTGGTTTTATTTTTATATAAACTACTTCAAATTTAAGTTTTTACTCGGCATGCAGCATTTCTTTATATGTTTGTTCTTCAAAAATTTTAAAATGGAATAAAAATGTTTCTATTTATTAGGATGTTTTCTCTAATTCTATAACGTCTTCAAAATGTAAGTATATTTGCTAAATTTATCAAAGAATACGAATTAATTATATAATATAAGTTACATATTATAAATACATGCTCTGTCAGATGTGACCTTCAGGAGGGAAACACTAAAGGATTGGGAGGGTAGAATTTATTTTGGAAATAAAGCCTATAAGTTTTAAAAGATTAAAGGGAGTGTGAATGTGACCTTGTGAAAAGAGAAAAAGGAGAAAGCATGTTTGGCAGAGAAAGGCTTGGTCCATAGTACAGATCTGATATATTCCCCAATGACCAACCATGTCTGGAGTGAAGATGATCCATTAGAGGAGTCCCATATTGGGCAGAAATGGCCAGGTCTTAAGAGCCTTACCATGATCAATCATTGAGTGGGTTTCCTGAAAAGAGTATGGCCTCACCTTGAAGTCAGAAAAGAAAAAAAAAATTGTCCAGAGGGCACCAGCAGAGTCTGTCAGCTAACTATGTTGCTTGCAACTTAGTTACAGTATTTTCCTTGAAGGAATAACTCAGCAATCAGTATACCCCTTTGCTGCCACACATTATATATATATATATACATACATATATATATATATACACATGTATATACATATTTTTTTTTGAAGAAAAAAATGTTTCAAATGTCAAAGTTTGGTTAAATAAAATTATAGAATTAGCTGGGCATGGTGGCACATGACTGTAATCCCAGCTACCGGAGAAGCTGAAGCAGGAGAATTACCTGAATCTGGGAAGCAGAGGTTGCAATGAGCTGATATCACGCCACTGCACTCCAGCCTGGGTGATAGAGTGAAACCCTGTGTTAGAAAAATAATAGGTCACCCTAATAATTAAGTATTATTATACCAATTAAGAATTATTTATACAAAACTTTTAACTGAATGATGACTATTTTAGAACCCTTTAAATTGTCAAAGCATTAAAATGTCAAGGACTGAGACCCTTAAGTTCAGATGAAATTTATTCCTCTTTTTTTTTTTTTAATGAACATCTTACTGAAATTGCACTTAATATGAAAGGATGCTTGTCATGATTCAACAGCAAGCAATAGCATTTCATCTATACTGTGTCTTCTACCATATCTGCCAGTATCTTTTTAAAATCAAAGTTTTAATTTAAAAAATCATTTTAAAGACATTTATGCTAATGGAGTTATACTTTTTGACTCATATGAAGACATAGCTCATAATTTTTTTCCATAAGTTGTGAATTGATTGGTGAAGGTGGCATTCAGGAAATACAAATGCATGCCAAAATTATAACAAGAAATTCAAATACACTGATACTTGATCATTGTATTTTCCCTTGCTGAAATCAGTGTGAATGTTGATTGAAACAAGCCATTTTAATATTATTTATAAGTAATTACCATATCATTTTTATATCCACATTATTACTTTACAGCCACATCATGGACACTGTATAGCAGAAGCTATCAAACTTGAGACTTGCTACTAAGAAGCATTTTATATCAAACATCAGAAGGAAAATAAATGTTTTTGTGCCTCCAAGTCTAAACAACTTCTTATAGCAAACATATGACCTCATGTTAATACTTAAGTTATAAGTTCACAGAATCCTTAAAAATTCTGAAAATATGACAACCATCAATATGCTTCTTGCTTCATAGTAAAAAGTATTTTGTGACAAAATTTAAAATATTTATTTTTTTACCATTTTCAAACGTAACTTTAAAATCAATATGCTTTATTGTATATTAAGATGTTTTAAACATTAATGTATTACTCCTAAAACTATTAATAGCTAATATGCAGATTTATTGTGGCCAGATATTCATGCACATTGTCTCTATTGTTCTTAGGAATTATGAAAGGTAATTATTATCATTCCTATTTTTGAGGTTTGAAATTAAATCTCGATAAGCCTTGACCATAAATCCAATAAGTAATATAACTGCAATTTGAGCACTAATGTAACTCATTCAAATACATCATCTGTCCAAGAAACTACAATGCTGCCCTTCTAAAAAAAGAATATCAGAGCTTAATCAAATGCCCCAAATCATATCTTATCAATGAGATGAATCAAAACTTTGAATCCTGAAATCTCTTCATAGTAGTGATATTTGTACATCGAGGACAATTAAAAATCATGAGAAACATGCATTTCTATACTTTTCCCTCTATTTTATAACATGCTAAATGATATTATATCCAGGAAGTCTAAATATATTTCTTCTCCAGGAGTTCCTTAAAAGGAGGGTGCAAATTAAAAATTATTTTATTTGTTTAATTTTCTCTGGTAGAATAGGGATTACTTGTTTTATTTATGAGAGCGCCACCTCTTCAAGGAGGAATCATATTCATAGAGTTATCAGAAAATATTACTGGTTTGGATTTTGAAGTTTAAAAACTTAATTTATTGCAAGTAAATCTAAATAGCAAAAATTTTGCTAATGAGACCAACGTAACAGATGCATTTTCCACAAAAGCAGTAGTTGCTGAATACATTGATCACAACTATAAGTTCGAATGTCCTTTAATGAAAAAACATTTAATTATAAAACTTGAAAAGTTCCTGATTTCTTGGCATATGTTAGAGATAATCTTCCTGTAAAAATTGTTTTTATGTAAAGAAAATAACTTTGTGTGACTTACTTTCTTTTGCTAGTCATCAGTCTTCCACAGATTTATTGAAATTTTCACACTATGTTATATTGTAAGAAAATGTACTATAAAAAATATAACAAGCCAGGCACAGTGACTTATACCTGTAATCCCAGCACTTTGGGAGGCCAAAGTGGGAGGATGACTTGAACTTAGGTGTTTGAGGCTTTGGTAAGCTAGGATGGTGCCACTACACTCCAGCCTGGATGACAGAGCAAGCCCTCATTTCTAAAAAAACATACATTAAATATATATATATATATATATATATATATATATATATATATATATATAAAATTACATATATATAAATTTATATATAATATATATATAATATATAATTCAGTTGTTATTCAGATTATTCTGATATTAGAATAAGTTTTAAAATCAG